AGCTTCTTCAGGCTGAGTTAGAGAGGTTATTTGCTTTGATGACCCCAAGTTGGGTGGGAGTGTTGATCTGCTCGAGGGCAGGGAGGCTCTGCAGAGAGACCTGGACAGGCTGGAGCCATGGGCTGAGGCCAGCTGGGGGAGTGTCCATAAGGGCAAATGCCGGGGGCTGCCCTTGTAGCCACAACAACCCCCAGCAGTGCTACAGGCTTGGGGAGGAGTGGCTGGAGAGCTGCCAGTCAGAGAGGGACCTGGGGGTGTTGATTGACAGCCCGATGAACAGGAGCCAGCAGTGTGCCCAGGGGGCCAAGAAGGCCAATGGCATCCTGGCTTGTGTCAGCAATAGCGTGGCCAGCAGGGACAGGGAAGGGATCTGACCCCTGTACTGGCACTGGGGAGGCCGCACCTCGATTCCTGTGTTCAGTGTTGGGCCCCTCACTCCAAAAAGGACATTGAATGACTCGAGCGTGTCCAGAGAAGGGCAACGCAGCTGGTGCAGGGTCTGGAGCACAGGTCGTATGTGGAGCGGCTGAGGGAACTGGGGGTGTTTAGTCTGGAGAAGAGGAGGCTGAGGGGAGACCTCATCGCCCTCTACAGCTCCCTGAAAGGAGGGTGCAGAGAGCTGGGGATGAGTCTCTTTAACCAAGTAACAAGCAATAGGACAAGAGGGAATGGCCTCAGGTTGCTCCAGGGAAGGTTTAGACTGGATATTAGGAAGCATTTCTTTCCAGCAGGGGTTGTTGGGCGTTGGAATGGGCTGCCCAGGGAGGTGGTGGAGTCCTCATCCCTGGAGGTGTTCAGGAGTTGGGTTGACATAGCTCTGAGGGATCTGGTGTAGTTGGGAACTGTCAGTGTTAGGTTAATGGTTGGACTGGGTGATCTTGACGTTCTTTTCCAGCCTTGATGATTCTGTGATTTTGTGATTCTATGAGGACATTGCCAAAACTTACATCTCATTAGTGTTTCCTAAGGTTCTTTGGAAGTGAACAACAGTTTAATTAGAGGCTGACGTAAACATGTTTCTGCACACTTTCCCTGCAGCATTTTATCACATTAGAATTGATCAAAATTGTTGCCTTGGGCTGTCTTGAACAGCTATACATCTGGAGCACCATTTGTGCAAGCTGCTGCTGAACAGCCTACATACGCTATGCTTCACAGCAGCTCTTCTCTTCCTATGTAGACAGATCTACCTTGTTGGTGATGAGATGATCTAACTTTTTATTTGAATATGTCTGTTTTTCTTTGATGTGATGCCTTGAAATGTATAACGTGCCACCTGTTTTGTTGCATCCATGCTGTATCTCCACAGTAACATAAGAATACAGGTGATTTGGAACAACATGGAGAATTTTTATTAAAAAAAAGGCCATTTTTTCACATTTAAAGAAAAGTCTTGACAGGGGAGGCCATATTGTCTGATAAATGTTGACCTTTTGATAACTTTGTCCAAGGGTTTTTGGCATCTTTCTGCTTTTCATCTATACTAAGCATTTTTTTTCCAGAAGTCTAAAAATAAATCATGTTTGAAACTGTTTTATATTCATTATCAAAGTAACAAGAATTGGAATCTCATTGCTGAAACTACACAGACATACTAGCAAGTGGCCTATTTTTGTGACCTCTGTCCTTCATTATGTAATTATCAGTATGTAACTAAGCACTATGTAGCTACTAGACATCTCCTGATGTGGAAAAAAACAAGATGTTTTAAAACGAGAAAAATGTGTGTTTTCTATTATGTAGAAGTTACTAGTGAAATCAAACAGTCTCGGTCACTTTAACTCATTCTGATTTATTTAAAGACACTGTTTCTTACAAGCAAAATCAAAGACAATGACAAACTGCTTTGCGTTTTTCTTTTTTTTTTCCCCACTTTTTTTTTTTTTTTTTTTTTTTTTTTCCTAACTGGTAAATTCTTCTTTCTCTGAAGAAACAGAACTTGTGTGTTTTCCTACTAAACCTCTAAGCCTCCTCTCTTGGTCAAGGATGAAATGGCTGCAGTGTTTCTAACCTATCAAACAGTTATTGTTCTGTCTACACTGTCACCTGCATCTGTTATTTAGCAGTGGCAGGAGTATGAATGCTCTGTTATGATGGCCCGGCACACATGGGGAGAGCTGTGGGTGCTGGGGGGGGGTGTGTGTGGGGAAGGGGCTATCTGAAATACTTCTCAGTGTGAAGTGCATTGTTTTAACAAAGAAAGTGCTGCCTGCACCTCAGCCATTATTCTTTGAGGTTGCCTATGATATATATAATAAGACTTCTGAAGGTACTTCGTGATGGTGTGCTGTGCAGTATATGTTAAAGTTGCTCTTTTGGTGGGTAATGAACATTTTTACGGCAGTGCTGAATTTTCTGTTCCTGACTACAAGTTGCATTGACCTTGATGGAGAAACAGTCTTCTGTATAAGAAGTTCATTGCAGCTGCTTTGTAATTTATGCTGTCTGTTTTCTGTGTGCTAACTACAATTCCTACTTCCCTAAGAATTGTACAATTTGTACTTCTCACAGTTCATACTTCTGTAGTAGTACTACTTCTCTAAATTTATATTTTTAAAGCAAATGCTAAGGCTATCATAGTCACCCATCTCATTTTCAGTAGATTCTTTTCAAATTAGTGATGCCACTTGGGGGTTAATGGGCGTTCTGATTACATTTGCAGTTCATATAGTATACTTCTTTAGGGCAACTAAAATATTTTGGTTTTGAAAAACGCAGCAACTTTTGGTTGTTTAATGAAGTAACAGTCACCAACCAAATTAAATCTCTGTTGCATTCCAGAAATGAGAGCATGCAGAACTTCAGGAGCTAGGCACCTCTTTCTTGAGTTCTTTTGTTGAATATAAGCTTTACATGGGGAAAAGATTTTCCACTTCCAGCCCATGGTTTGTTTTTCCATCAGGGAGACTTAAGTGTAGTGCTTTTAATGTGAAATAAAATCAAACTGTTTGTACATTCTCTCTTTAGTTACAGCCTGTATGTGGTAGAGTCAATAAGATATTTGGACACTAATAAGCTCTGTGATAACTACTGATGACCACAGTGTTGTGGTGGGAGGCCGTGTGTACAAGTTATTATGGACACTTATCTTTTTTCTCAGACTGTAACATTGCAGCGTTTCTACAGAAACAGAGATTGTGCATGCACAGAACCACAGTATAAAAATAATAGCTGGTTAATTTTGTCCTGGACTTTAAAAAAACCCTACATCTGTTGTGGAGGTGTGAGAATCTTCATGTTCTGGTGAAACTAGGGTCTTATATGTAGAAGCTAGGGCTGTCATTTAGGCAGAAAATAAAATGTAATGAAATGTTTGAAATTCATTACAGAATTAATGTACTTTCTTATCATGGTTTGCCTATGCAAAACTCAATTTAAAAAAAAATATCAGTCTCGCAATTTTATTTCTTAGCTTAGCAGGTTGCATTCAACAAAACTGTAACCATTTGTCAACTTTGTCTTTGCTAACTGCCGGTAGATTCAGAGAACCAAATTATTCCTCTGTTTTCTTCCTCCACAATCATTTATTTACCAAAGTTTTATAAAACAGCTAGTGGTGCCTCTGTCAACACTCAGTAGTTTGACAAAAACATAAAATTGCAACAGATCAGTATAATAAAAAGCATACAGTAACCTTTGTTGTATCTGTTAAAACTGAATGAGTGCTGAATTGCTCTATTGTAGAGCAATTCCTCACTCTTACTGAATGTTTCTCTGAATAAAATCCTTTCTCGGCAACCTTCTTGAAGAGGTGAACCTTGCAGGTTTTCTGGGAAATCAGCAGACTTAATAGTCAGGACCAAATGGGAGCAGGGGAGTTGCAGATGGATGGTGGAGGAGCACTGGCAGTCTGCTCTGGATCCGGTGCCAGTGCCTATGCAGGGCTTGACAGAAGTATGGGGCAGAGGGGAGAAGTGGTCTCTCAGTTTTAGGGGTTCTGCTCTAAGTATGGCTTTTAGGGTGAAAACCCACTCTTAAACTCCAGCCAGTTTAGAAAGTACTGGTCCAATTTCATCTCAGTAAGGTGTTCAAATTTTGCAGGTCTGTCTTTGACTTCCAAGATGATTGTATGTCCCCTAGAATAATACAATACAGTGTGCCAATATTAAAAGTGACAAAATCCCTTTAAGGGCTAACAGGGTTCATGTAGAAAAGTCATCTGCAACATGGCCCAAATCCAGTAAAGTACTTAAGAAATGACCTTTGTTTAAACAGGAGTCAGTCCCATTGATTTGAAATGGAACTCACTTATGATATTGATGTCTGTCCTATAAAAATATCATCATTATTTTTGAAGTAATTTGGTGCAAAGTCCAACAAATTGTTGTTTAAAAAATTTAGATTTTCAGAAAGAATTCAGTATTTTTTCTTTATGAAATATCAGTAACCCTGCATGGCAGAAATCACACATTTGTTCCTACTATCTTCATGCAGTGAGCTCTAAAGAGATGTTTTTGTTGATAGTGAAACTGGAAGGAAGGCCCTACTTGAGACATGTAAAATATGAGATAGAGAAGTTAAAGTATCCTTTACTCTCAGGGAGGTTTCACTGTGGTTTTGGGAAGGGTTAAGGGATGGGTTTTGAAATAACAACACAATAAATAACATAAACTGGCATGTTACCCTACACACCTGAGTGTAGGTGTTCCATTAAAAAATGCAGTAAAGATTATGTGGCTGTTGAAGGAGCAGATGATCTGGTGATGTTCTTGGGAGCTCAGAAGTGTTTAGGGAGGTTCTGAAGACATGCGTTTCTTCACTGTTTGGCTTGTCTGGTATAAATGGAAAGTAGTTTCTGTTTTGCACCAGTTAGGGGATTTTTATTCATTCTCAGGTTTGAAAGCAATAGTTTAAAATTAGTTATTGATCATACGGGAGTTGGGTCACCTAACAATATTTATGCAAGAACAGTAGAAATAAATATCTGTAGTTTACAAAACAATGTGTCTTGGGACATGCTTCTAAGCTAATGTCACTCTTCCATTGTTACTTTATTGCAGATATGGCTTCTCCTACAATGAAGAAACCTGAAAAGCCTTTGTTTAGTCCTACTTCTCCCCAGGATTCTTCACCAAGACTGAGCACTTTTCCCCAGCATCACCACCCAGGAATCCCAGGAGTTGCACACAGTGGTGAGGTTTATGGAGGAGGAAGAAATACCTCCCTATTAATGTGGTCTGTTCTTTCCTACAGGCAGATTGTGATTCATTTTTGCAGACTTAGAGACTTAATCCCGTTTATAATACTGATGAGAATAGAAATGGAAGAGGTTGGGGTATCCTTGCAGGAATGCTCATTAAACTCAGTTCAGGTAGTCTGAATGCTGCAAGTCACTGGAAGGGATTAACCAGTGAATAAAATAAGTTGTAAACTGCATGAAGAAACTGACAGAGGAAAAATCCTCCCTGTCTTTCCTCCTTCTGATTTTTTTTTTTAATCTCTTACTATGACTATGTTGTATTTAAATGTCAGGACAGAATTTAATACACAAAAGAAGTCACAACCATGTTCCCTATGTGGCACAATGAAATAAGTACCAGCACTTCTTTTGAATGCTCTATCTAAAAGAGGTAGAGTCCTGATAAATATTTTTCAACATCTGTTTTCTGGAATCTGTAATAAATCCATAGTAAAACTTCACTTAAAGTTTGAAGGAGAGACTTGAAATATGACGGAATGCATGCTATCTTGAGGGTTTATCAGGAATGACAGAAAAATTCCAGCATCGTGGTCTGCTTAATGTTAGAGGTGAGAGTGACCCTGATTCTTCAGATGAAGGTGGTCCTTGGAAATCTCCCCTCAGCAGCTCATATAAAGGGAGTTCATTTCTTGAACAGAGCTGGGCAACTAGAGGAGTAAAACAGATTTGAGGGCTCTCTTCTTTTCTTTAACATGCAGTTATGCTTTGAGAAGTTTCTGTTTGGTGATTTCTCCATGATATCAAGTTCTGTTTCAATTAATGTGTAAGGACTATTTTCCCCTTAACATCCACTTATTTTGTATTACAAAAGTGAGCCTGGACTCATTCTGGTCTCTGTAAGTTTTCTACTATCAGCAAATACTCAAGCACATCAGAGAGGTTTTAATTACGAAATACATCAATTTTGTAACATTCCTGTTGTTTTTTCTTGGGCAAAATATGAATTGGTCCTAGCTCTAGAATAGCAAGTTGTTTAAAGATTAAGGTGAAAAAAACCAAAGATATGAGAGGTGGTCCAGAAGAGCAGTTGGTGCTTGTGCTGATACAGTATAGAACAGGAAGCAGTTTATAAAATACTTTGCTTATACAGACCTGGTTTGTACCCTCCCACTAATGAAAATGAAAACACTTGTCTTTTCCTTATTTCCACTGAACTCGGTACCTTCTTTTTAATATGTTGCCAAGTAGGTGCCCCCTAGATGTGTAGTAACGGTGGAAAGAGGCTGTTGTGCAGTGTGATAGAAGAACCTTCTCCACTTCCAGCTGGAAGACTGGGCAGCAGTAGGACATGCTGTACATTCCTCTCCCTGTGAAATCACTGCTGGTTGTTTAGACGTTACATATAGTCTAGAGATAGTGTGTATTTGTAGGGGCTGGGAAAAAAAGAGAGTGCAAAGGAAAATATGTATAAGGTAGATGCTTTTTTGTTTGTCAGAAATATTTTAATTGGATGGATTGGTTTCCCAGGCCCTGAAGTTGAATGTTCATTAGCATTTTCACAAAAGTCAGATAGTATTCATGGCATTATTGATGAGTAGTTATTACCCCATCACCACATGAAGCAGGTAGAGTGCAATGCAGTGAGAAATCCCTGTTTCTTAGGACTTGGTGACTTTGCTCTCCTCTGTTGGAGTCCTGTGGATAAAAATGTAGGTTTTATTAGTTGAGTAAAATATTTGGTTTGTTTAATTGTGCTGCAGATGGGAAAACTGTATAACTGAAATGTCTTTTATGCTGTGGAAAGATGACTGTTTAAAGAAAATAAGGAAAAAAATATGATGGCATAACCCACAAAACCAAAACAATATTTATGAATTTGAAACAGCAGCACTTTCCATTGCCTGGGATGATATAAGGGGAGGACATGTTTTTCTGTAAAGTTGCCATGAAGCAGGAGTGCAGTGTACTGATTTATAACTGACTTTTTATTTTTCTTGCTATAACACAGAGGTGAAGAATTTTAGAAGAAACAAGATGCGAAGTAATTTTAATTTTATTTTATCTTCTCCAGTCATCTCAACTAGAACTCCACCTCCACCTTCACCATTGCCATTTCCAGCACAAGCTATTCTTCCTCCTGCCCCATCTAGCTACTTCTCTCATCCAACAATCAGATATCCTCCTCACCTGAATCCTCAGGATACTCTGAAGAATTATGTACCTTCTTATGACCCGTCCAGCCCGCAGACTAGCCAGGTACTGTAAAACCCTCTGAAAGAAATCCTATGAGGAATATGTATCTTCTAGGGTGTCTAGACTACTATCTCACTAGTTCTGGTCTCAGAGCAAGCTGGGAGCTGGCATGTAAGTGATCCAGCAACTTATCCTGTTCAGCATGGTTGAATGAAGGGCACAGGTTAGTAATATCCACTCCCTGTTCCTCTGTCTAGCATAAGAAAAACACTCGTTCTGAATGACCCAGCAGCAATAAGGGAGGAGGTCCTAGCCCTGCACCCCTCCTGCAGGCTGGGTACCTCTGTGGCTGTGCAAGACTGCCAAGATGAAGCTCCTGCTGTGGGAAGGAGCAAGGAGCACACTACTATGTACATGTGCATGCGTGCACACTAACAGACATATAGGTATATTTATAGACTGACAATGAAAACAAACTCTGGCAAGGTAATGCTTGCTGTGTTTTGTAGGCACCTGACGTTTCTTTGCACCGATGCAAAGACATTACTTTTGTGAGCACAGCACAAACCCACAAAATTGTTTTTTCTTCCCTTTGTAGAGAACAGGCAGTAACAGATGAGTTCATGGCTGCTACACTGATTCACACATGTCTGATATGGGAAATTAACATGGTTTTCATTAGTGAAGTAATCTGCGAAGGACTGTGTGCAAAACTGCTTTCCATGATAGCATCAGCGCATAGTGTTAGCATGTGATCGGCAGTATAGGATAAACTTCAGTTGAGACTTGGTCTGTCAATACTTGGAATATTTCCAGTGTCAGTGTAATGTAATATTTGCTTCTTAGGCATTATTTATTTTTCATGCCTTCTCTGAAAGGCTCCTGTGGAGTCCTGTAGTTTGTGCTTTAGCATGTGTTTTGGAAAAGCCTTGGGAATGTAAACTGAATAGACAACGGTCAGATTTTCCTGCTCCTAGGAATTAGATTCCTTTGGAAGGACCATCTTATCAAGGATGAAGGGATTGCTGTGACAGCGTTTTGTTTTGGACTTTGTTTTGTTCTGGTTTTCACCAATAATGACAGGCCTTTCAGAATGCATTTCAGGTACAACAGCAGTAGAACACAAGCCTGAATCAAACTTTCTGTGCTGAATAACAGATACAGCTCCTCAAGATCATTGTGGCTATTGTCTCCATGGGCTAATGCTCTGGTCCAGCTGCATGACTTTCTACATATTTAAAAAAAAAAAAAAAGAAAAAAAAGTGGGTTCATAAAATAAAAATTTCTTTTGGAGGGAGAAATCTTAACTATGTTATTTTTGTTGATTACAGTATTAAAGCAAGTTAAACAAAAAATGAAAATGGAGTATGTGGACTTTAGAATACAAATTGCTGTCTACGCATGGATTAAAAGTCTTTTAGTCACATATAGCATTTTTGCTGAGACTCAACTAGGAATGTTGCACGCAGGACCTGATTTTAATTTGTGTAAAATTTCCATGAATAACAAAGTCGAATTAAGACATTCATTAAAAGTCCTTAATGTTAATTCAGTGTGGAAAATCTTAAGAGTTTTGTTGGATTTTCTTTTTTTAAACCAATGTCTTAATTAGGCACTATTAAGGGAAAAATTATGCAAATTAAAATCAGGCCCTTACTGTTAGGCATTTCTTTAATTATTCAGTGCTTGGTTTACTTATATTTTGATTTCTTATATATTAAAAGAGCAGATTAGGTGATAATCTCTCTGGATTTTTCAGTGTTCTGTTTTGGATCATCACTGAAAAAATACAACATCTAAATGAATTACCTGACTTTCTTCCAGATGGTTAACAAATGTGGTGTTTTGTGATTTTTAACGTTGGGGAGTATATTCATTGAGGAGGAGATCCGCTTTCAACTCTTTCCCTAACAAATGCTTTCAACTCTTTGCCCTTACTTTCTTCCCTTATCTGCAATGGGAAGATTAATCTTCAGACCTTAAAAGATAAAATTTTACTCTGCTGGGTTTTTTTGGAGTAGTAGCTGTCTCAGTAGCAAACTGAAAACACTTCCTATTCTTGTGTTGTGGCACCATAGGGAGTAACAGGCCAAACTTGCCTTAACTTACTACTTTCATCACCTTTCATAACCTTTACATTAGGGTAATGTTTTTAATTTCATTTGATGTTTGATTTAATTCCTGAGAAGGGGGGATGGTGTTACGCAATACCAAGTATGGGTTTCCAGGCATTAACTATTCTTTGCAATTTATTATCATTAATCAATATTAGTGGAATCTCTTTTTAATTTATTTCTTTGAAGTTTAATTCTTAATCTCTTTCTCTGAGATATGCTGTACATTAGAGCAGTTGCATGCCCAGTCAAAATATCTCTAAATAGAAGCGTTAAAGAATGGCTGTACATAAAGTAAAACAGCAGGAGTAATTCTTTCTTAGGAAAAGAAGAAGCAGCTGTCTGTGAAGTTTCAGTGACAAAAGGGAATTGTTCTGATACAATGGTATGCTTTGAGCCAAACCAGTTTTTATTTTCTAAATAAAACACGAATTTTTATTCAAACAAATTTAATTATTATAAAATGCAAAACTGCATCAGTAGGAATACCACATCAAATTTAATTACACTTTCCCACCGCAAAACATACTAATTTGGATTTCAAAAGCAGAACTATGATGATAGTTTTAATTTCAGCTTTAGAAATAGAAAGGATGGATACCCTGACAGCATTTACCTAAAATGAACTGTTCCTCCCCAACATCTTTCAGTAATACGCTAATTTAGATTGTTACGACAAGCAACTGAGATGTCTTGTACTCCCCACAGCAATTTTGAGATTAATTACATTACTACTGCACTGATTATAGTGAGACAGTCATGCTATTCAACAGAATACTTTAAGTAAAATTAGTTTAAAGATATAGAGTTCCTATAGGTTTCCACGGTGGGAAGCAGTGGGCAATTTTCTTGACATACTGTTAAATACTCCAAATTATGTGTGATGAACAGTCAGGAAGTTCAAACAGGCCCGTTGGCTGCAGTGAAAAATGATTCAACAATGGATCATCCTAAACAAAAGAGAGCTGTGGCTGTCAGTTTCATGCATATCTGCTTTTTATCCCCTGCTCAATCTGAAGAATAAATAAACAAATGTACTGAACAGAAATGGACTTTATTAGATATAGAGCTGGCCTTGCCTCCAACTAGTAGTCTGAAAAGTTTCCAAGATTTTGAGAACTGCTGTCCCTTCCACTAATTAATTCTGATGAGGCCTTTTTATTATACTTATTTCAGCGCTTTTCTTCTTAGCTAGGCATGCATGTTACTGGATGAGTTTGTGTGTTTGCATATGTATCCGTATTACGATGGGGTGCTGGTCTCTCCACAGTTAAAATTATACTGGTTACTCGCTGTAAGTATAAAACACTAGTCGACTGGTATGTGTCTAATCCACCTATAGTGTTTATCCATCTACAATATATTGAGGTTTTCAAAGCTAGCACAAAGTTTGAACATACATTGCGTTTCTGAATGATTGAAGATGGGTCTATCTTTTAATCTTGGAAAATATTATCTCCTCTGTGCGTATGTACACATATCCACACACACACACAAATCTGTACACACTTGAAATACATTAATAATTGAAAGTGTATGAATCAATATATCAGTATCAGAATCAGACTTCCAATAAGCCTGATCAAATCACCAAGCACATCACCACTTGTGTGACTGAAACTCCAAACTTAATGTTCTGTTGAGTTAAATAGAATAATTTCCTGATTAAGGTGTGACTCACAGAAGAAGGGTCAGCAAATGTGATGAAAGAAACGATGGTAAAGCAAACAGTTAAGGTGAATCCTGCTGAAGAACATCCTGGCATCAGTGAGAAATATTTTTCTGACTAAACCAAGTAAAGAGAAATAGACAATCTTGCAAGACCTTTGAGCTTGGGTTATGAAGGGTGTCTGTAAACAGGTAAATTTAAATCAATTTTTGTGATATTTTTGATGAAATATGCAGTTTTCAGTGGAATGGTAAAACTGCATCCAGTTTTGGGGAGTTAAGTATTGGACCCCTTTTCTCTTATAATAAATGTCTTACACTGTAACATACTACAGTCCAAGTGAACCACTGTCCACATATTGGCTAAAATTCCTGGGGCTGTTAAAACGTACCTTGTTGCAATGTGGGCTAGTTTGCAACTTTATCTTTTTAATGGCTTTATCTTTATCTGAAGACAGAAATATCTGAAGTGCCTGAGAAGAGCTGCTTCTGGAAGATGGTGAGGCCACTCATTTTCCTCTCATAATTGATTGGGGTATTCAATTTTCTGTTCAATGAAAGATAGGCACACGCCAGGAATGCCAGGCAGATGCTTTGTCATTCTGCAATACAATAACTGCAGTCATTTAGCAATGAGGAGGGAATCTTGTGAGGCTCTGTTTGGCCTGGTCAAAGGGTTTTCTGTTGGTTCCTGGGAGAATATTAGCAGAAAAAGCCAATATGAGCAATATATGTGCATGTGATTTCTTTGGTATAGCTAGCACCTTTATTTGTTGACATTTAGTAGTTTTCAGCTTCTTGGGAAAGTCTTCCCTTGTAATTATTAAGAAATAATTCAAGATTAAATATGGCAATATGCTGGTTTTAATTGTAATTAGGAGGCAGAGAGAAAGTACTAGCTTAACTGTACCTACTGACAAGGCATTTAAAATTTTAAATGCAGTTGTAAATGATTACTTTGTATTTAGTTTTCTCATTTTTAGTTTATCAGATCCACAGTTATGTCTCCAGAGAGCATGAAATACCATTTAACTCAAAGATATGAACATTTTTCTACAAAAAGATTTCCTTCCTTTCCCATGCTTGTATAACATGAACTTAACCTGTCGATAAGTAAAGTACAAGGAAAGCTGCATATTTCCTATGAAGTAGAACTTGTTGACAAATAATTCATATTTTGTGAGCTTGCAAGTAAATTTGTAATTCAAGATGGAGGACTCTTCACCTAGAAAGTCTTATGATATCTGTGTCTGAACATGGGTTGCTGAAGCTCTGCAGTTG